AGCAGTGTTTCCCAACCGGGGTGCCGCGGCACCCTGGGGTGCCGTGTCGAGAGCAGGGGTGCCGTGTAAAAAATCATTTTTTAATATTTTTAAATTGCTAAAATATTCAAAAAAGCATCTATTATATAATATCAATTTCTGATGTCGCCAATCGAGAGTTGTCATGACAGAAATATATATAAAATTGATGTAAGTGATCACCCGGATTTAGACCAAACTATTTTGTATTTAAATAAAGCGTTCACAGGCAAATTTGCTTCATGTATTTCCCCGGCGTCTAAATCAGGCACATATGTGTTCCTGTGGCTCAGTGGTAGAGCATTGCGTTAGCAGTGCAAAAGGTTGTGGGTTAAATTCCCAAGGAACACACATACTGGTAAAAAAAAATGTATAGCCTGAATGCACTGTAAGTCTGCTAAATGCATAAATTATTAAAATTACATATAAATGTCAGAAAACAGAATTCCCGGCTGAATACCAATATCATGGACCACTGGATATTTGGTAAGTTGTAAGGAACATTATATCGAGTCCAGCAACCTTTAGATTAAACTGATTATTGTTTGTTTTACTCGCGTTTGCTCAGTTTCCCTAATAAATTCATTCAAGCAGCAGGCTCTTTGGTAAAATCTTTTTCAAGATGCCCCATGAAGGCCATAGCGAAGCACCTAGCACTACCAATGGCTCAAGGAAATCTGAGCACTGAATCTGGAGACACTGAATGTGTTGTCTAATTCTTAGTGCACAGGGCATTGTATAGCGGTCCATCACAATGGGTTTGGTCCAAGGACTCTTCTGTCACCTCCGTTCCTGTATCTTTTTATCCTCTGGCACACTGTAGAGTCGCTCTATATGAGACATGTATCATGCTGTATGATATTAGTTCTTCTGGGAAGTACATCTGAAAAATGCGTCTTTCAACTGCTCTTTCTTAGTCAACATAAGCAGGTTTACTCGTAACGACTCTGCCAGTGTCTTCGCTGCCAGGGTTGCCAACTGTGGGTTTAGTTACAGCCACCTCCTCATGAGCTCCATATGATATAGCAGCAGCTCTCTTGGTTTTCCACTGAATAACAGCTCAAATTGTGTAAATTCAGTTCGGGTCTGTGTTATGACACACCCAAAGATCCACAGTATCCTGTGTACAGCATCCTATTACACTTCTAAGTTTGTCTTAGTTTTTGTTCAATTTAAATTCTATGATTCATGACAATATATTTGTTTGTGGAAATGAATACTTTGCCTGCCTTATGTTGCATTGTACACACCAGTCGTAACCACCTGCAGCAGCTCTTTACTGACACATAACGCAGCATGAGGTCTAAGGATGGAAATCGTAATGAATTTTCGAATGAATGTTTCTTAATGGATCCTTTAAAGGAGTCGTGACATGAGGAATCCAAATTTTCTTGATTTTTTTGACATGGAAACTTACAAAATTGAGATTTAGAATTCACAAATCTCTCACTGCAGAAAAAGAAAGCAAGCAACCAAAACAACTAATTGTCTTCTTTCTCCACAGCGTGACATCACATTTGCATCTTACCGCCTCCACAACAACACCTCCACACTAACTTTGCCATATCACTTCCATAGCCTGCAGAAGCTATGCTGTTCGTGGATGTGGAAAAGTGTTACGTCAAAAGTGCCAATAGTAGACCCATATTCACTCACACTACTTCTGACAACAGGACAAATGGTTAAGGGAAGACTTTTAAGGAAAGTCCTTCATTGAGGTGATGTTTTTGGAAAATGTGGTGGTATAGAGAGGGTCTCTGCATCTCTGCAGAGCTTTCCGAAGAGCCCCAGTGTTTGTCATCTTGGATAACAGTCTCAGGGGAAAAGTTTCACTTTATTTCCATCGCAGAGGCCCCCGTGCTCCATGAGCTTGCTGAGTCCCTTGAGTCGGCTATTCCTCGGCCTGTGTCCATGTGTCTGCCACGTCTCTCCAGGTTATGCTTCTATGTCTATTTCACCAGACTTGTGAGATCTGTCCATGCTCCATGTCCTGTCACTTCCTCATGGTCCTGTTCTGTTTCACGCCTCCTGCTCCACGGCTCTTGGTGCTCTTCCACAGCTTTGCAGTTATTCTATGGGCTGTGTCCGCCACTGCTCCAAGGCCCAGCTACAGGGTCGACTGGGTCCACCGCAATTCCAATTTCATCATTTATATTTACATTTACATTTAGTAGATGCTTTTATCCAAAGCGACTTACAAATGAGGACAATGAAAGCAATCAAAATCAACAAAAGAGCAATGATATGCAAGTGTTTTTTTTATTATATAATAAAAAAAGAAAACCGATAGAATAGAAAAAGAATAGAGCAAGCTGGTGTTAGAGGCCTTTTTTTCATCAGTCATTGCTCCAGTCTTCAGTGTCACATGATTCATCAGAAATCATTCTAATATGCTGATTTATTATTAATGTTGGAAACAGTTATGCTGCTTTTTTTTTTTTTTTTGGGAACATCTGATACTTTTTTCAGGATTTTTTTGATTAATAAAAAGTTTAAAATAACTTTCTATTTATAACATAAATATTTTCTAACAACATATGTCTTTACTATCACTTTTTATCAATTTAACTTTTAAATAAAAGTATTATTTATTTATTTTATTTATTTTATTTTTTATTTTATTTTTTTTTGCAGAAAGAAAGAAAGAAAAAAATTGAACGGTTGTGTATATTGTTACAAAAGATTTCTATTTTGAATAAATGCTGTACTTTTTAACTTTTTATTCAAAGAATCCTGAAAAAGTATCAGATGTTCCAAAAAAAAATTTGTTTTCAACAACTGTTTTCAGCATTACTAATAAATCAGCATATTAGAATGATTTCTGAAGGATCGTGTGACACTAAATGATGCTGAAAATTTAGGTTTAATCACAGAAAGAAATTATATTTTAAAGTATATTAAAATAGACAACTTTTCTGTGTTTTTGATCAAATAAATGCAGCCTTGATGAGCATGAGAAACTTCTTTTTTTTTTTTTACTTACAAATCTTACTGATCCCAATCTTTTGAATCATGATGGCATGATTAGATGTTGGTGAGATTTGTTGTCAATTATTTTATTTGTTGTTGTTGTTGTTGTTGTTGTTGTTCTTAGTGTGTAAGCACTTTTAGGTTTCCATACGTTTCTTTTGTAATTATTGCAATACTCCAGTGAGTATTTGTTCAAACTAAGAGTCCTATAACCATAATTAAAGTCAGTCAGGAAAAGACAGAAGCAACTGTCTAGAATAGTGACAACATATCTAGAACAACTGAACAACATCTCACACGTGGAACTGTGCTGTTATACAGAATATCAGCCCAGCTATAACAGCTGTAGTTGGATATTTATTCAGTATAACAGCACTCGTTTGACATCACTTAAATATATGCATGCTTGTGCGAAAGTTCAGGAAAAGCTCATCAGCACTCAAGGCATCTTTGCTCCTATGTGTTATTATGGTTTGGTGTTAATGTGTGTGTGTGTGGGCTCGGGGCACCACTGCATTAGTGTGGCTGGGTGTTAGTGGGCGAGAGTGTGTGTGGGTGCTGCGAATTGGCAGGTACAACAATGTGCTGTGTGGGCGAAAGAGAGAACGCTTTGAAAATGGAGTGAAGGGGTGAAATGAGGCAGTGAATGTGGAGGAGGATCAAAGAAACCACATTAATTAATAGAAAAGAGAATATATGCAGCAACTCTTTCCAACACCCCTAATGAAAGTAAAGGGTTTATTTGTGATGCCCTCTGTGTGTTCAGCAAAGATTCCGCTCTGTTACAAATCAACACTGGAAAATGTGCTTCATTATCAGTTTAATGGTTTCAATTCAATGCACATTTCATTTTTTTGCTTGATCATGCAGCGCTCTTATAATAGAATGCCCTTTTTGTTGCATTACTTTACTTAATAGATCAGGTCTGTTATGAATATTGGTGTCCAAACCTTGCTATCATCCAATATTAGCGCATTTTAATTTTCAAAATGACACCCCACTGTATAGGTCTTTGGGAATTTAATCCCGCGGCGCGGGACCCGACCAGATTTTTTGCGCCGCGGGATTAAATTCCGGAATAAAACGCGGTAGCGGTCCGTAACTCTGGTGTAATTTGAACGGGAGCGGGCGGTCTAACAATAACCCATTCCCGACGTCCATTCAGAACAGCATATCTGCGCTTTATTCTTATTGACCACCGGAATAAACGCGTCACGCGTTTTATTTGCGGGTGTGTTTTAAAATAAAATATTAAACTAATTTTGTGTCTTAAGATAATTCATATAAATTTAAGTCAAAGTCAATAAATTCAAGACTCTTGACAAGACGAATAAAATAACATACAATTTTGTGCAGAATACACTTTTATTTGACAGCCTCTCTCTCTTTCTTTCAGTAGCGGAAATTTAAATGTGAGATTCTGGAAACGAGATCTAAATTTAGCGGGAACGGTCGGGTCGGGAAGAAAATTATTCTAAGCGGACAGCGGGTGAACAAAGAGTGAATATATAGCGGGAGCGGGTGGGTGCGGAATAGAACCTTGCGGGAGCGGGACTAAAAAAACAGTCGGCACAGACCTCTACCCCACTGCTTCGAACTTCCTGTCCATCTGAGCTCCAGAACCAGCAAATTCATTCGGTTGGAAAAATCTCAACAGTGATGTACAGAGATACTAGCAAGACAACAAGAATATACATTTTCACCTGTTTTCCAGTAAAAAGATGTACTTGTTTAAGCAAAACTGTTTACTTTCTTTATGTTTGTGGTAGTCATCTTCAACTAGGCAATTACTCTTAATGTGGTAAGTAGACTCGTTAAAATGCATGTGGACTTCTTTTAATAGATTTGTTTAACTGCTCGTGAAAAGTATTTGACATTGTAAACATCTAGCGGAGCTACTGATCAACAAAACACAGAATGCAGTCGGAGTAAAGCCAGTACGCAAAGAGCAAAGCATTCAGCAGGAGCTAAAATACAAGCTTAATCAACACAGAGGAAGAGATTTTTTTTACCTGCTGATATGAAGACTGCTTGTCCATGATAACCGCAGCAGACGAGCACACAGAGAGAGTGAGGAGAGAAACATTCACACACACACTCTCTCTCTCTCTCTCCCTCCCTCTCTCCCTCCCTCCCTCTCTCTCTCCAGTTCAACCATACTATTAAGCAAAAATGACTTTAGATAAACTAACAATAAACTAACAATTAAGCTCCATTGTTTTTTTATTGCTGAAGAGTGTTTCTTCTTCTGTGTTCTACTGTACAGACGTGAATTTACTTTTCCTTCAGTCTGAGGTTTATTCATTACACTTTTTGGTGTGAAAGGGCTTTTATATTTGCTATAAATAGAACTTCTTATATTAAAAACAATCAAGTCCTGCTCATATTTAAAAAGTAACGCAAAAGTAATGTAACGCATTACTTTCCATAAAAAGTAACTAAGTAACATAATTAGTTACTTTTTTAAGGTTGTAATGCAATATTGTAATGCATTACTTTTAAAAGTAACTTTCCCCAACACTGATCATGACATACTCATAGATCGATTACAAAACTATACAGGTATTCAAGGGCAGGCTTTAAGATAATTTAGATCC